ACATTTTCAAAACATTTCACAGACTATCTTAGTTATCAAATTTAAGCACAGGGGTGTCATTGGAATTATACCATGGATAAATCTGACTCTTGGATTCTGATTTTTAGAGGCATTGGGTGTCTTGAACGCCAAATGTAGTGAAGTGCTGTAGAACTGTAGTAGGGTTACCATATTTTCAGCTCCAAAAAAGAAGACACCTGTTGCAGGGACTCGTCACTTCAAACCCACATCCCCCTGGCCCTGCCAGTGCCCCTCACTCCCAACCTGCAGCCCTCCATCCCTGCTGCTGCCCCTCAATCCTGACCCACAGACCCCTGGCCCTGCTGGTGCACTTCACTTGCAACCTGCAGCTTTCTGACACTGCCAGTGCCCCTCACTCCCAGCCCACAGCCCCCCACCTCCCCAGTGCCCCTTGCTTCCCCCAGCCCTGCTGGAGGGGGCCTCCAGCTGGCCCTAATCTCACCAGGCAGAAGCACAGGGTCTGAGACCTGTAGCACCCCCCCACCCCAGGCTGGGGCTTCTGCACTGTGCCAGGCAGCCTGGCTATGACCCTTCCCCCTCTGCAACATCCCCCAGATGCCGTGCCCCCATGAGCATGGCCACTAACCCTTGGTACTGCCAGCCTGGCTGCACAGCTCGGCACTGCTCCTGAAGGTGCCTCCATCCCCTTTCCCCCTGGATGGACAGGCACCTCCCCCCTGCTTCTGTGCCCTGCCACAGCCCTCACGCCTAAACACGCTGGCAGGCACCCACCCCTCTAGTCCAATGCTGGCAGGCACCTGCCCCCCTCACACACCTTGGCATTTCACCCCCGCTCCCCATAGACTTACCCGTACCCAGTTTCCAGGGCTGCTCCCACCAGCCTGCATGGCTTCATGCCAGCGACGTGTGTGTGCACACATGCATATGCACGCAGAAACATGTGGTGCCCATCTCTCCAGTCACCCTTCCCCTGGCTCCCACCAGCAGAGTGGGCAAAATCCCAGACTTTTTCAGATTTAAAAAAAAAACCCACCCAGATGGAAATCAGAGGATCCAAAAAGAATCCAGGAAAATCCGGACATATGGTAACCCTAACTGTAGATTGTCCACACCTCTGAAAATTAGGGTATTAAGCTGTGGCACACTTTTAGGCTGCTTGCAGATGTTAAAAAAAAAACCCAAAACCCCAAAAAAGGTGAAAGTAGCAGTGAGTTACTTTGACCTGGCTCCACAAGCATCTATATAGATAGCATGGCTTTTTGGCACTTTTATCTAATTGCTGATTGAATCAGCTATTAAATAAAAGTGCCAAAAAACCCCACTAAAATGCCTGATCTATACTGATGTCGGCCGAGCTGGGTCTAACTAATGCACTGCCTCTTCTGGGCATTTGCTGGCTTCAGCACGGGAGCATGTCAAGTTTAAAGTAAAGCACCACTTTTTTTATGTCTGCAAACAGCCATAGATTCCACAGTGATATTACAGAGCTGGCATTTAGAAGAACAAAATGTTTTTTGTAGACTAAGCACATCTGATAATTGATCATTATAATGAAATAAATGGGGAACCTACTGATACTTCTTGTAGCTAAATTCTCCCTGACTTCTTTCTTTGCCTCTGTTTTACCATCTATAAAATGATGATAATAATACAGTAAAATCTCTGTTACATGAGTGGGGAATGAAGGGTGCCAGTTATCCAAAAATTCCAGTTATCTGAGAGTTATTCTCAACGAAGATGGTCCCATACTTACAGTGCAAATTTTCAAAGAATTAGTGTACAATACGTTACAGTATAACATACTGTGTAAAGAATAAAACAGCATACAGATAAAAATGCCATAATACTCAGTCACCCCAAACTCCAGGGCAGCCTGGCTGCAGGCTGCTGCATCCGGGGGGAGGAGCACGCACACTCAGATACCCTGCATGGGTACCCTCAGAGCAGTGCAGCAGGCAGCAAAACAGTGCAGTGCCATGTGCATCCCACCACTGAAATTCTGGCTAATTAAGTATTATGGTTAGTTAAATGCCAGATAACAGAGATTTTACTGTACTTAGCTTACCCTTTTTGGCTCTGGCTCAATGCAAGGAACTCTTTTACCTTACACTTCCTAATGGCTACATTTCAGACACGCAGAGTGTTTCATTAAAAAAATAAAAATACTATGAAGGACTTCTCCCTCTGCATTTTTGTATGCATTTGACCTTTGACATTTTTGGTGAGAGATTTAAGATTATTTTATTAATACAGTAAACTTACAATTCAGGTTTCCCTCTGAATAGTCCATAAAAATGCGTCATATTTTCCTGTAAAAGGAAGATACTAGGATATGATCATGGTATAACTTATCTAATTATAATGTATCTGTAGTTATAGAAGCTGAAAAAAAGAAGAAGGATAAAGGTACCAAGGATCTGGAAACATTCTGGAAATACTTGGAGCCAGTTCTTAACAGTGGGAAGAATGGATCAAATCTCTTTAACATTGCCAGACTTCATCACCTTGTTAAGGAAAACACGTTTCCCCTAGTCTGGACAGACAGTGAGATGATGGTCAGTGGTCTCCTTTTTAATAGTGAACTTCATTTAGCACTAATTTGAGAATAACTGGAATTTGAGCTTAGTATGTCTGTAAAAATGAGTGAGAATATTTGGCTTACAAAACCAGAGCTGTCAAAGATATGGCCAATAGACTGGATCTGGCCCATGGAGCCCTATCATCAGGCTCATGGTGCTGCCTGTGGGTCTCAGACTGGACCTGCGTGTGGTGGGCAAGGCTGGATCTGGCATGCCAGGGTCAGGGCTACATATTTCATGCAGTGAGCAGGGCTGGTCCATGACACATGGTGAACTTGGCATGCATGGCATATCAGCCCCACATGAGTTGACTGGCCCCATGTCACTCATCCAGCCCATGGGGCCCAGTGGCTTTGACACTTTTGCTTTAAACCAGTACACTTGATTTAGCATGGATAAATATATATTGGTAGCAGCTTCAAATGGCAAGAGGGTGCTTCTGCTCTGCATCCCCAGCAGCTGTTATGCTGTAACTGTTGTACACACCTGAACCTGCAGCCATACAAATGTAGGAAAACATCTCTAACTTTTACCTTGCTTCATTTGTGTCAAAATGGGGGTGATTTACCACATTTTCTTGAAACAACATACACCTTTTCCCCAGAAAACAGCAGCTGGAAATTGGGTTGCACATTACAAGTGAGGTAACAGCAGTTCCTAACACTTAAGCTTCAACTGGGCAAAAGCAAAAGGAACTATGTATGATCCACAGGGAACAGAGCTAAGAGCAGGCTCAGCTACACAATTGCTGCTACTCAGTTACTTACTGCAGAGAAGTATTATTTTCTTGCATTCTGCCTTTCAAAAACAAGATTTGTCTTATTCTGGGTGTATTGCATGTGAGAAAATAAGGTAGCTCATTTGTATGTCTGCATGCTCTTACAGATGTAACAGTTGCAATATAACTGTTTCATTAGCAAGAGCCCCCCCCCCCCC